AATTTTGATCGCGGCCGCACAAGGGAATTTCGTGGCCACACAATTCTGGTGCGGTCCGCACTTCTATCTTTTACTCAAGTTGGCAGCTCTCTGAATCTCACTCATCATGGTCCGCGTAATTTTAATTGCGGCCGCACAGGGACTTTCGCGGCCGTACATTTCTGGTGTGGTTCGCGCTCGTCATTTAGCCCAAAATCACACTCTCTGAATTTCCCTCTTGCGGACCGCATAATTATGATCGCGGCCGCATCATGGCTTTCACGGCTGCACAATATTTGTGCGGTCCGCACTTCAGACCTCTTTGCCCAGTCTTGGTTTTTGTTCAACTTTTGATTCGTCTGTGAGTTGATTTTGATTCCTTTGGCTCATTTTGAATAATTCCTACAAGCAAGCATATTTCATTAGTTTCCGGGAATACCTTCAAGCATTTTTGGCCTAAAACACAAATAAAAGAGAGCAAATAATAGGTTAAAATTCCCACTTATCAGTATACGAAACTTCTTTGGGATCGGCTTCGGAGCTGCGCTCGGAGGAAAAGGTTTTTGGATAAAGTTTTTGGAATCTAGGCCCTTCAGTATCGGTGGCGCTCCCAGGATTTGGTCGACCCTGGAGTTAAAGGTATCACTTTTTTTGTCGTTGATTTCGATTTTCTTTTCTCCCGATTTCACTCTTTTTGTCAGTTCCTCAATCATCTTTATTATCTCCTGGTTGGTCCCGAGTTCCGCTTCACCCGGCCTTTTTGTGGCCGGTTCATTTCTGCGGGCATTTTCTTGGGACGATTCCGGCTTAACTCTGGTGGGGGCTCGACTTTAGTTCTGCAACTGGGCTATCGCTGCCTGTTGAGCCAATAACATTTCGAAGATCACGCGCAAGTTGATCCCATCACCTTCCCCGTCGTGTGTACTCCGAGCTATTGACCGGGCTCCCCCGGGAATACTATTTTCGGGGTCAGTGGGCAAGTTTGCTTCGATAGACACGTGTGAGTTAGCATCGATCGGATCAGCGACTGGGAATCTGTTGGTGGGTATCACGTTGTTGTTTTTGCCATTATAGCTGGACTCAACATCTACGTTCAAATGGGGAGATTGGGAGTTCGTCATTTTTAATCTGACTTGAAATTAAAAGCTCAAAGAAAGGGTGTAAAATAGAGTGTATCATGAAAATTTGTATCAAATTGCCACTATTATCCTTAGCCCCACGGTGGTGCCAAACTGTTTAGTCTAAAAAACGGATTACAATTAAATTTGTAAGTGATTTTAATGATACGTGGGTTAATTCAATACAAATGATAGTCTGCATATTAAACACATAAAGGACGTAAAGAATTGTCAAACAAATCAAGAGGAGTGATCCCGAACTTAGTAACAGCTTAATGAAATGCATGCCTTCTATCCCGGGCTCACGTTATTGATGAACAAAAGTAAGAACTTTGAATAACTGAGAAAATAAGAATATATTGCCTTGATATGCGTGTTACAGTGTGCATAGTAAATAATCAGACCCCTTTATATAGTAGGGGAGTTTTTTCCTAAGTACAATTTCACAAAAGGTAAAAATCTTCCGTTCAATTAATCACTGATTTTCTGCTGATACGTGCCGAGATATTATCTGGTAATGCTCTCAGAGATTTTTGGGATTCAAACATATCTTGGGGGTCGTGGCCCCGATACTGCCGAGGGCAGACGTCATGCCCGGACCCCGACTCGAGGAGCTCGTTGCCTCGATTCTGGTCCCTTACAGTCATGTCTTTTCCTCCGTTTACTTCATCGAAAATTGAGGCGTCCCATGAGCTCGGTTTCACCCGTACACAAAATGCATTTGATTATTTTAAGTAGAGAGAAGGGCGCGATAATGTTATTCAAACATGGTCATGTCACAAATAAAGGCCTGTCTTTTAATTTCAATGTCACTGTTGGGCAGAACTCTTCAGAAGCACAAGACTGATTGTACCCTCCCGAGGCTCTCATCAGAATCTGGTTAGGTTTCTTTTTTCAGCATCTAACCTCTATGAGTAAAGTACCAACATATAAAAATAGTAAAAAGAGCATTGAATTATAGTAAGAATTGGTGAAACAAGAGTTGATGGAGCCACAGCCATCGTCCCATAGAGTTCAACTCATGTCAAATTAATAAGCTCGTTGCTGGCAAAGTTTTATTGCGCATGTCCATAATCGTCTATTTGTCCTTCAAATGAGCTAAGAATAACGACCAAAGAGGAAAATGGAAGTTAGGAAACAATTGCCCAAACAGTATGTTCGGTAAGAAATTATTGTAGTGTTAAACTGGGAAACATAGTACAAGATAAATGTAATAATGCAACCCTGTTTAATTTATGGCAACCCGACTGGGTGCCATATGGGTTTAAATTTCAGAATTTTGAATTTTAGCTATTTCACGGTTAAAACTTTTTTTGTTTGTTCAATGCAATTTAACCGGCTAAAAAAGAGCGAGATAGAGTTAAATCGTCACAAATCATACAATCTTTCTGAACTGATGCAGACATAATAATTAAAAGTAGGATGGAATTAATTGAAGCAAAAGATTTATATCGACCAGATCAGTTGATAGTCTGGTTTAAACTTAATCGTTGTGTAACGATCCGACCGGTTGTTTTTGAGAATTAGCGTCCCGTTTGATGGCTTAAGGTCTCGAGCAGCTTCGTATTATGTATTATGACTTGCGTGTGTGGTCGAGTTCGAATTTCGGGTGATTCAGGATTGATTTGGAAGGATGATTCTTGTTTTAGAAGCTTAAGTGAAAAGAGTTGATCGGAGTTTGACTTTTGTGTAGACGACTCCGAAATGGTATTTTGATGATTCCTATAACTTCATATGGTGATTTTGGACTCAGGCGTATGTTCGGATTTGGAATTGGAGATCCGTAGGTTAATTTAATGCATTTTGGCGAAAATTAGAAAGTTGAAGGCTTGGAAGGTTAAGAGATTTGACCGGGAGTTTACTTTGTTGATATCAGGTTCAGATTTAGATTCCCGGAGTTGATATAGCCCCGTTGTGTCATTGAAAACTTGCATGCAAAATTTGACATCATTCCGGGTTGATTTGATATGATTCAGCGCAAGTTGTAGAAGTTGAAAGTTTATAAGTTCATTAAGTTCGATTCGAGGTGCGATTCATAGTTTTGATGTGATTTGTGGCCTCGAGCAGGTTCACGTTTTGTTATGGAACTTGTTGGTATGTTTCGATGGGGTCACCAGATGTGTTTCAGGTGGGCTACGGGCCATTTCTCCATGTTTTGGACTACTAATTTCTGGTGTCTAATTATTCGAGATCGCGAAGTGCCATTCACGATCGCGTAGGCTGTTTTTTGACTGGCCATTTTTCCTTCTACGCGTTCGCAATGAATGGTCCGCGATCGTGTACTTGTGATTGTTGCTTCATCGCATTCACGGTAGGTGTCACGCGATCGCGTAGTGGGCGACCATGTTGGGGAGGCCAGGTTTATTGTTCTTCGCGTTCGCATCATTTGGTTCGCGATCGCATAAGCAGAGGTCGTTGTGCGTCGCGTTCGCGGTTGTGTTTGTGCATTCGCGTAAGGTTATTATTGGCAGCCTTCATTTTGTTTTTCGCGATCACGAGGAATGTTCCGCGATCGCGATGTGTAATATCTGGGCAGAATATAAAAGTACTCTATTTCGAGGGTTATGTCATTTTTATCATATCTTGAGTTGCATACCTAAGATGTGAGCGATTTTTGAGGGGTTCTTCACGTGTTGGATTGGGATAAGTATTCATTACCCAGGATTTGGTTTTATTTTAAGATTCCATCTTTATTTTTATCATTAAATTAGTGGTTTGAGTTGAGAAAACAAATGAGAATTTTGTGAAAAATTTAAAAAATATAAAATGATGATTTGAAGGACGAATTGATGCTGGAATTGGATAAATTTGGTATGGTTGAACTCGTATCGGAATGAATATACGAATTTTATGAATTTTATCGGGTTCCGAGGTGCGGGCGCGAGATTGACTTTTTGGGTTGACTTTTTAATTTTTATTAAAGATCGAAACTTTATTATCCGGAAGTTTTCATTGGGATCGTGACACGTTGTTATATTAACAATAGATTGATGTTTGCGAAGAGTTTATTTCTTGGTCTAATTAGTTTTCAAACCTTTTAATTCTTTGTTTTACAATAATATCCAAAAGGAGAACATATTTCTTGAAATGTGTATCTTCAAAATATTAAAAACGAAATCACACTAATAATTCGATAAGAAACAGGAGTACTTATTACTACTAGTAAATAGTAGTAACAAATATTTGTAAATGTAATTAATTTATCGTTACTTTCTGCCTAAAATTTTATAATAGGTAATATATAAATATTTACCATTTTCTCGTTTCAATTTTCCTTTTGACTAATTCACTCCCATTCATGTATTTATTTATGAGTACACTTTTTATATTTCAAAACCAATCACTTATATNGATTGATTTTGAATTAATGGATAAATTCTTGTATTTATGTAGAATTTCATTACAATTATTACCGCAACTTAATATATGTAATATCCTGATTTATCCCCCTTTTAGTACCACGGCATGGCATTGAGCCATAGAACCAACACAACATATTTATTTGGAGCCTGAGTTGGAAGTGTTGAACTCTTGAAGACCAAAATGTGTCTTCTGTCAATTATTTATAGATCAAACGCAAAAGAAGATCCTTTTTTAAATTATCGGACGTCTGATTAAAACATAAATAGCTTTTACAAAATCGTATTGTTTATTCCTCACTTGACGGGCACTCTATAAAAATGGCAGGACTATTCTTTTTAAACGGTTCCATTGCTGCAATAAATCCAAATTCCTCAGTCTTTTTCTCTTCTCTTAGTAATAAGCCAAAGCGTCATTCCCATAGCTTCCTTTTACTTCCACCGTTCTTCTTTCCCCCTACTCATTTTTCCTTTCAAATTTTCCCGAAACAAAATCAGTGAACTTTTCTATCTTTGGAAAGAGCTTGTATTCATTGCTTTTCAAATGGATGCTTTCGATTTCGGTAGTGAGAAAATAGAAAACAGAGTGATTCTGATATTCCACAGTTTCAAAAGCATTACGAAGCTTTTTCGCATCGTTGAGTTCTGTGTTGGAGTTTTTGTGCTCTTATGGAGCTCTACTCGGTTGCCTTTTGCCGTCAAAATCTCCGGCGAATATTTCCGGCAACTTATCTCCATAATACTTAGCCCTCTCTTCATTTTCCTTATTTGCAACGTCATCGTCCTCACTCTCCTCTTCAAGTCCGGCCGACTCTTCGGAGATTCCTCCTCAACTCTCTGTGCTAGCGCCGAAGCCGAACTCTACGACTCATTCGTCGAAAAGGAAGAGTGCTCCGGCAATTTCACCGCCGGTAACTCGTCTTCGCCGCCGGAACCGGAAGAGATTGTCTACCAAGACAAACAGACTGTATTGGAAGTGAATACTCGGACAATTTTTGAACCCGAAGAAACAGAAACGGTGACGGAGAAGGCATTTTATTCACAAGTTCCACGGAGAACTAAATCGGAGAAGTTTGAAAGAGGAAGTTATAATAAGGAAATAAGCGGAAATAAGCTTCGTAGATCGGAGACGGAGAGATGCCGGAAAATCGATAATTCCGGTGATCCGTCGGAAACGGTGTATCCAGTGGATGAATTAAGCAATGAGGAGTTTCAGAAAGCCATTGAGGATTTCATTGCTAAGCAAATCAAATTTCATCAGGAAGAGAAGTTGGCTATTGTTCTTCATAGCCAACCATAATAATAAGTACTTTTCCTATTTACTGTATTGTCTATTAAAAGANGCATAATACTAAGTACTTTTCCTATTTACTGTATTGTCTATTAAAAGAAAAATAAAAATAAAAATTAGAGAACATAAAGTTAGAGTTAATGTACAGAGTGTAATGAATAATAGGAGTCGCAAATCTGTAGGGGAGAGTGGTTGATCTGAGCCGTTGATATTTGGAGTGGATAAAAAGATTCTGAGTGATCTGAGCCGTAGTGCTCGCTATTTTTCCAGAGTGAGCTATGGTTGTTAGGCTCGGAAATTTAGAAGTGTGTTTTATTTTTCCATCTTTGTATTAAAATTAATTAATTAAGATGGAAAAAGGAGGGAATGTATTCCCAAATTCCCACTTTAGTTATTCTTCTCCTATATTTTAAATTTCTTCTTTTTTGGATATATTCCACAAGAAAAATAAAGTTTCTCGTGAAATCAGTGTTAATCTATATAATAAACAAACGCTTGTCTTATAATGATAATCAACAAGATATCTCAACATACTTGGATCTAAGAAAATAAATTAAGCATGCATGTGTGCTGTGATGAACTGATATGTTGCAGATTTATATATAACACAAATAAAAATGCCCCTTTTCAGCCATTTAATCTTTAGCTTACAGGTTTTAGATGGATATGAGATGGTCATACAAATTAATAGAACGTAAAATTAAGCAAACACAAATAATGTTCCTTCTGGATAGAACAGAACATGGTAATCAATTCAATTGTAGAACCATATTTAAGTTGCTAAAATGCAGATTGCAGAACAGGTATTAGGTGATGGTAAAGTTATAATTTATATATGAGAAATATATAGTAGAGGAGAAGAATTTTTTTATGGAACTTGAAATAATAGTATCATGAGTCCCAGCACCCTTATTTTTAAACTTCCATTGCACTACAAGAAGTTGACGTCGCTTTTTTCCTAGAAAATTAGGGCTACGAAATTCCAGTGTTGAATATTTCTCAGCTAGCAGTGTGTCCTTGGCAATGACTACTCAAAAAGGAAAGAGAAAAAGAAATTTTATTCACAAAATTGTGGTTGTGCGATGTAATGTAAATAATGACTAATAATCACGTTTTTCGAGTATATACTTACAAATATTGATCGATGATATCTTGCACTTTTAAAAATATTTTAATGTAGCTATTTTTTGAGTATATACTTACCGACTTGTCTGTATGTTAGTGTACTTCTTGGCTGTGTTTCATCATTTTTTAAAATTCAGTTGATAAAAGCTTGCCTTTTAGGCCAGACTAGGGTATGAATTTTACCTAGCCGTAAACGTTTTCTCATTATTGCTAAGTATCATCTTGATTTGGAAATCTCCCCCGTTGTCATGTCTTGAGCTAGCTTTTCCTCTTATATAGATGGAGGAGAAAGTATTTTATTTACTCCATGTTAACTGGACTTTAACTTGTTGAAGCTGAGCAACTTATCGTAACTCGTAAGCATTCACTAAATATGGGGATAATTATAAAATGATCAACAGTAAATTCCACTTTTCAATTTGGATGACATCAGAGAATGGTGAACAAGCCAAGAAGTGAATGTTTATCACGTGAAAAGTTGGGCATGCCAAAATATTTGGAGAGCACAAGTTGTTTCTCTTCTATGCGAAGAAATGTTACTAGTTACTATCTACGAAAGAATTCAGGATTTAACGAAAAGCCTTTGAACCGAAATATCATGGGTTCTTTTAGAAACTATGAAAAGACCAAGTATGGAACATATGAAGAGGAAATCTAATTATTGGAACTTTGAAAAGATTAATTATATATGTATTTACCCGAAAAATCAGATAATGTTAAATTTGTGTATGGTTCTAAAGATATATGATACAATTTGATACAAATCGTATAAAGAGACAGAAATATGTGTATTTTTGATTATGAGAATGAGAATAATGAGCAAAAGGAATGAAAAAGATAAGGTAAAACAAGCACAGATATCTTTCAATATGAGAAGTGATCTTTTGTTACAATGTATTCGGTCCCTCTATGCTTACAAGGATTCCCCCTTTTATAATAGATGGATCATACTTTATTTATAATAAAATAAAGCATATAGTGGAGGACCCATGATGAATTGTCTCTTCCTCGATTCCCGCCAAGATTCTCTCCCTTAGTGCGGTTGTAACGGCTCTTGTCTGTGAGCTCGGTACTGGCTCGAACTCGTTATTGGGTCGAGCCCTCGGTTTTGGCTTGAGTTCGTCCTTCGGGGTGGGCGTAGCGCATTTTCGACCTCGAAGCAATGCCTTGCGGATCGATTTGGTCACGGGCTCGATAAAAGTATTGAGCTGACTCCTCGATCAGCCTTCGCACTCGAGGCTCGTTTGTACTGTCTTCGGAACTCATCCCAAAATTCCGCTTCGGTTGCTTACCATTTGAACTCGATCGAACGTAGGAAGGCCGAAATCTATTTCGACCGTATACAGATAGTCCCCTCGTTTTTCAGGAAGTATGTGGTGAGAATCGATATGATCTTCGACGGTTCGATCGGGTTATATGCTGACGTTTTCACAGGGCTCGATCATGACGTATGTGATAGCTGTCCCATTGATTTAGTTTTTCAAGGTATTTAATGCATGTCAGACGGTGGTCGGTCACCTTTGATATTGAAACGCCACGATGCAAACCTATAAATAACCCCTCCATCTAACATTTACCACTTTTACGTTTTCACTCTTCCAAAATTTCTTACCCTTTTCTCTATATTTCGCCGCTTGCAGAGCCATCTACACCAGCGTTTGGTGTCATCAACTTTTCATCTTTCTTTGCCTTTCTTTCTCTCATATCAATGGCCAAAACTTCAAAAACTGTACCTCAGAAGGAGAAAGCTTCTTCTTCACGGTCGTCCGGCGACAAGGCGCTGGTGGAGCCGCCTACCTATGAGTATGTTCCCGGCCCGTGTACTCTGAAGATCGATTTTAAGGTAGATAATCCTTCATCTGTTCCGGGTCGATGTGAACATGTGTCGATGTACATGTGCTCGATAACGGAGGGTCATCTCGAGGCTGTGAGGAAAGACTGCAACTACAGTTCTGAGGTTGTGTTGCAAATTTCCTCCCCCGAAGAGAGCGTCATCACTCATGTGGAGGGGTTTTTAAGTGTTTACACTTACCCCTTCACGTTGGGTCCCGTCGACCCAGTGATCATTGATTTTTGAAAAAGATATCAGGTCACCCTTGGTCAAATTCATCCCTCTCTATGGCGTATAGTAACCTTACTTCGCTTTTTCTCCAACAAGGCCAGAGGGCTGGATTTTTCCCTAAATCACCTCATACGATTGTATCGGCCTCAAATCTTCCGAGGACTAATCAGGCTTCATCATTGGGCATCGAAGGCTTTGATGTCGAGCATCGACGAAGACAAGGATCGGGGTTGGATGGGCCGATATATCTGGGTGAGGACCCGTGACCTCATTCCGGAAGAGAAAATGTCATTCCCCGAGGAATGGAATTTCGACCGTAAGTGGTTTTCATAAGATGCTGCTTTTCGTATCTTTTTCTGATTTTATCTGATGTCTTTCTATGATATACAACTGCCCCTTGGATGCCACAAGCGGTACCCGACCTCGAGGATTGGGTTCGGAAGTTGGCCTCGACTTCCTCTTATGCCAAACGCTCTTGGCGTGATTTGGCAAAAGGTAGATGGGAGGCCAAGAATCATGGTAAGGGTTACTTCTCGCGTTCTTCGAAACATTTTTTATGCTCCATTCATTACCGATTTTCTTTCATGCAGGTATAACCAAGGATGCCATTTTGAGGCCTTCGAGTGGTGAAGAAGGAATCAAGTCCCTGGTCCCGGAACCTGGGAAAGATAAGAAGTGAAAAGCTATCTCTCGGTCAGAGGACCCCGAGCCCAAAACTCGAAGGCTGAGGAGGAAGGAAATTGCTCTTTCGATGGATTCGGTCCAATGACTGAGAGAAGAAGAAGAAGAAGAAAAAGATGATGCCTCGGCTTTGGTGATCCGATCTACGAAAGCTGTCGAGGTCGCCAGAGCTTCTGAGCCGATGGCGGCTGTACTGGTCGTGGTCGGTTCCGGTACCCTGAGTCTCGACAGAGCGTCTCGAGCGATTCGCTTGGGAGTATGACAGTGGGTCATTTGCCTTCTCTTCCAACCTTTTCTGAGGAGGCGTTAAAGGAAGCTCGAGAATTGAAGACCCCCGATATGGGCGGAGGCTCTAGTGTAGGGGATACTTTTCGGGATTACTTTATTGGAGTCGATGATGCCTCCGACATTGGTGACGCTTCTATTCTCCTAGAAGAGGCCCAACATTTCATTTCTCGGGTAATGATTTTACGGTACTTGGTTTCTTCGTTCTTTTCCAAACTTGACTTGTGTTCTTTCCCTACTGTGCAAGCCATTAGTAGGTTTTGAGTCGACCTCAGCCAGTGTGAGGCCGAGCTTCAGAAGGTCTCGGGGGAGAGAGATGCCCTCCGGCTTCTTTGCAGCCAAAAGGACGAGGCTATAAAGGACCTCCAAGCAGATTTGGCTAAGGCTCGTGAAGAAGAGGCCGAACTAGATAAGCATGTGAGCCTCGTTCTGTTAGAGATTGGGTTTGACTCAACTGTGGAAGTTAACCCTTCGTTATCTCAGCTGCAGCAAAAGGTTGAAAAGATCGGGTTACTTCGGGAAGAAGTCGATCAGATCAAGGCTGAATGTAATCGGTGGAAGGAGACTATCGACCGCCTGGCTGCGGAAAAAGAAACCATCTTGGCCAAATTATTATCGGCTGAGGTTCATCTTCAAAGAGTCAAGCAAAAGGGTTCGGCCCAGGCTAATAGGATCGAGGAGCTTGAAACACGGCTTGCTGAGGCCAAGGTGGAGGTTGAGTCGTCAAAAGTCATAGCGGACAAGTCCATTGCCGTGTATCGGGCTGATGCCGAGGCTGCTCAGATGGAGGCACGAGAG